GAGAGAGTGTTTGTCAAGGTCTGTGAATTCACACCCTCAACACAACAGTGAGCTGCTTGTTTCTTATCAACCTATCTGTGCAGGTTCATGTTTCTTATCAAGCTTTAAAATTGTTTTTTGGATGGTCAAAGTCGGCGGCGGGAGCAGCCTCCGATGCACACAAGTGTGTATATGCTGCGACTCTCGTCTCCGCCCTCGCCTTCTGGCCCCTCGCCTCCCGACCTCTCGCCTCCCCGCTACCAGCGCATCGAGAGGGGTTATCAGGCCCTCGAGGATGCCAGCTGCGCCAGGGTCAATGCCAGCATTCCTCCCATCCCAGGAGCGGACGCGGACGCGTTCATGGCTGCGTACCGGAGCTTTGCCGGCAACGGCAGCGAGGCGCATGTGCTCACCCTGGCACAGAGAGTGCTATCGCAGGCCAAAGTGCGCGCCTTTCTGGCGCTGCCGGATAGCTTCGTGCCGGGTGGCCTCGATGCCGCCATGGTGACGTGCGCAGTGCTCCGCCAAGCCACGCCAAGTGGTCTAGCGAGGTATGCAGTGCGGGGAGCAAAAGAGGAAACGCTTTTGGGACGACTGCTACTCAGCCCTCGTCTTATGCGGGACATGCTCGTCGCGGGCGGCGCAGCAGGAGGCAGGTACGGGCAGGCGATGGAGATCTATACCAAGATCATCCAGGAAAGCGATAGCCTCTCTGCCGATGGCGAAGCGAGCGGCGCCGAGCCGTTCTGGGACGACCGCTCCCCCTCCAACATCCTCGGCCGGCTCGCGCTCGGGACGGCGGTGGAGCACGCCCTTCCGATTCAGCAGCGCTGGGGTGGAGCCACCGTGGACCCCGTCTCGCGCTTCCTGCACTATGAGCGCGCATACCTCGCCGGTAACCTCGATCCCGCCCTCGAGGTGCTCACCGCCTTCGAGTGCCGGTACACGACCGACTCGGACGCCACCGACGATGACCTGGCGTGGTTTCGAGCGACCGCCGCCAACTTCCGCCCCGACCACATCGCGACCGCGTACTCGTGGCGCTACGCGCGGACCGTGCGCACAGATGTAGCGTATGGCAAGCCGCACTGCCACGCGCACGGCAACATATGCACGGGACATTACGCCGAGATCCCGGCAGCGGGCGGAGAGTGCGGGCCGCGTGCCTTCTTCGGTCGCTTCGCGCGCAAGGCGTTTGGGCTACCAACTTGGGGGAGGGCCGCTGCAACTTCAACACGAATCGGTCCGCCTTTTGCGCGGAGCCGCCGTGCACAGTGCTCGGCGGGACGGGAAGGGAGGTGTGTATTCGACTCTGAGTTTCTTGTTTCTGTGTTAGTGTGCCAGTGCGCGCCAGTCCCGTGCCTAGTGTTGTGCGAGAGAGAGTTTCGTTGGAAAATTCTTGTGTCTTATCATTGATCAACCGCTAGATTTGTGCGGTTGTGACGAAAAAGGGTTTAATATAACAAAATAAAAGTTTTCAAAAGGGGCTTGCGCGGCGAGGGAAAAGGGAGCAAAGAGGGGCAGCAAAAAAGGGCTCCGGCCATGGCTAGGGGCGTCCTCCGGCAAAAACAGCACCACACATCCTTATGAGGTCAGGGACAGCAAGCTCAATCAATGTGAAACCGGGGTCTCGCCTTTTTGTGAGGTGTGTACGCTGTGTTGTGATGAGAGCTATAGTCTACACGGAGAGGACAGAGCTCAAACGCCCAGCAAACGCCGTCAAAATAGGCCCCGCCAACCCCGTCTTTCGCGACATCTCACGAAAGGTGGTGGGTGCAAAGAGAGGATTACACATGTACGGGCTGGTCGAGGCCCTAGGAGCTCTTCGCATCCTTCGCCTTCCCCTTCTTTGGCCGCCTGCCGGCCGCTGGCTTTTCGGCCTCCTCTTCCTCTGCGGGCTGTTCTTCCGCCGCCAGAGAGCGCTCGTGCTTCCGACGGAAGATCACGGCGAGGATCTTGCAGCAGACACAGGCAAAGATAAGCGAGGCCTCCTGCTGGCCAAGCCCTCCCCCGACCCGTTTCACGAGGCGCTCGGTGCTGCCGTAAGGGTCGTCGGTGAATGAGCCGACAGTTTTCCAGCCAGCCTCCTGGATCGCCGCCTGCCGCTCCTCAGGCATGTTCGAATAGACGTGGTACATGTAGACCGCGGAGCAGCCCACGGTGAGGACAGATCGCCCTAAGGTCGAGACTGGCATCGCGCTCGCTCGCGCCGCCGCACCCCCACACCGGCGATATTTTGGATTTCTTTTTCAGTGGCGGAACTAACGTACCACACAGCGATCCACTTTCGAGCATCTGCTCGGCCCACGCCTGCAGCGAAAGCGCGGGGGTAGGCGGACAGGCCTGAGAGGTCTCAGCCGATGATGAGTGACCGGAGAGGTGGGGAGCGGAAAGCGATTTCTTTTAGTATCGCTGTCGTGGGATCGCTTGTCATGTGAGAGAGTGTGTTGCACACCTTGTGGACGCCATTTGTGATTTGAGCAAGCAACTAAAAAGGCGCAACACCAACAGAGAGAGCAAGCGAGCGAGCGAGAGAGAGAGAGAGAGATTGCAAGAGAGAGAGAGAGAGAGAGATTTTTAGCAATACTTTTATGTGATGTTACAGGTGGGT